GAGGTGGTACAGGGGTGGGGTTAGTTATGGGTAGGGGCTGTCCAGCTGTGGCGAGGTTAGCATGGGCGACGGCAGTGTGAAGTGTGTTAGGGACTAGTGTGTTGGTAACGGTCGTAGTGGCTAGGGGTGTTGAGCCGACTGCAGTGGGGGGGTGTGTAGCGGGTATGCTGTTTAGCAGATTCTGGCTGTTGCGTGTGGGAGTGGCAGTGGCGGTTTGCTGTTGTGTACCACGCATTGAGGCCGGGGAGAGGGTTCCGAAAAGCAGTTGTCATGGGCATTTGCATTGTGTGCTTATTGTTGCTCAGCAATGGTCGGGGGTGTGGGGCTGAGGATGCTGGAATGCGAGCGTTGTCTGTCTAGTTCAGCTGCGTTGGATGGTGTCTGTGGTGGGGTTGTCCTTGCGTTTATTGGGCGCGAAGGGAGGCAGGGTAGGGGTAGGGGCCTGGGCAACCGGAGGCAGCAGTGTGGCAGCGAATTTCAAGGCAAAGGGCATGTCTTTGTATGGGGCTCTGTCCATGAGCTGCTCGATCGAGTAGTAGTGGGGGTTTTCTGCGATTAGGTGGGTGAGGTTCATCATGTGCCTTCTCATGTAGAGGAAGGTCACTTGGAGCTTGACAGGTTTTCTCCATTCATTTCAAAGTTTGTTTGTCAGTTCGACCATTCTCATCCTGTCAGATGGAATGTCTGCTTCGAACATGTCGAGGTTCGCAATGTAAAACCAGAGCATGCGGTCAAACCAAGTGATTGATCCAGCACCGGTAGGCCATGTGCATTTCAGGTAAGGGCGGCCCGACTTCCAGAGCTTCTTGAGCTCGAAGATGTCCTTACTGGGCTTTTGAATGGCTTTCCGGTGGAGGATGGGGTGACACTTGGCACATTATGGGTGTTGTCCAGTGGACCGAGGACCGGGAAGTTGCCATCAAAGGCAGCCTTACCTGATGCATACGTGATCGTCCCTTTTGCGGCCTCCTTCCCGCATTCGGCAAGATCATCAGGCTCGAGTTGAGTTGTGCGAGCGTGGTGTAAGCTTGGATAGTGATAGGAGCGAGGTGGTTGACGAATCAAGAAGCCAAAGCTTATTATCATATGATCTACTGATGTTCTCAATCCATCTTGCAGTTTGGACGGGGACAAAGGGAGCATCGGGGGACATCTTGTAGGGATTGTTATTTCTACGCAGTATTGCAACAGGTTGGGGCATGGCAGCCTGTTGCTGCCTTTGAACCATGCGTTTCAGATACCATTCTCTCTCCTCTTGGGTGACGTTAAGCTATTCAAGCATCTAGAGTTTCTGGGCCTCTGAGTTCTCGGCAGTCGAGATCTCTCCGGAGTCCCAGATGTGTGTGGAGTTGAACCCATGGAGACCCAGAATAGCTTTCTCGGTCTTGGCGATGATCCTGTCCATTTCCCTGTTCTGCACTGCGGCCTGCTTGAGGATGCGATCGATGTCACGAGCAAGTGTCTGGATGACAGTATCTACTCATTCTGTGCAAGATTTCCACTTCGCGGTGATGACTGCCCAATCAGAGAACAGTAGATAATCAACTAGGAATGGCGTTTGCGAGTTTGTAGCCTCATGGACTTGTCGCTCCGGAAGGGCTAGCATGGCAATCTGGGCCTGGATGCAGGGCGCTGCCAAGTGGATGAAGGATCTAACATTGGGGATAAGCTCGCCGTGCCGTCCCCCGTCGCTGTCAGCTTCGTCCTGCAATGCATACGGGTGGCGAAATCATTTGTTAGTACGTATGTGTGGGGTATGTTTCAGTGCAGGAGCCAGTACTGCAAGGTGAGGGTGTGCACACCTAAACAAGTCATTTGAATATGACTGAGATTGTAGCTGCTGTGGGGGCGTATGGGAGGGGAGGAAGGGATCTGCGGGGCACAAAGACTTGTTGGATCAGCAGAGTAGTCTATCATGGTGGGAAACGTGGGAAAGGTGGGAAAGGTGTATTTTTCACATATATTTGGCAGTGCGTGGTTGCCTAGAGGCTAGAGGTATAGTGGACCCATAAGAAGAATGTAGGAAGAGTAGGGCTGAAGGTGTCGGTCGTGTTTGGTGGTCAGATGGGGTATGTGTGGTAGGGCCATAGCTGTATTGGGTCCTACAAGGATGGCCTGTTAGCACTAGGATCGATGGTACGGCTTCTTACCCATCGGCACCTTTTAGTCGATGTAATGGGGTTTGATGTCGGGGTTGTCCTAAGTGGGCTTGTAGGTGTTGTAATGGTGAACCGTGCAAGGTTTGATAGGGATTGTTCGGGGCCCTCGGTTGGCCGAGCAGTAGAGGGTTGAGTCTATTAGGTGCTGCAGGGTTGATTGCAGTGAGTTGGCGTGGTTTGATTCGTTAGTTTCTTTCAGCGCGTAAGTCTTCTCTTTGTGTCTGCTCCCAATAGTCGAGGTGTGCGTGTTTGGTGCGTGTTCTCAATGGGTTTGCTACAGCACTTCATGGTCAGGGGTCTTTATATGTAGCGGCAGAGTTACTGATTAGTGGAGTAGTGGGTGATCATGTGGCTAAGGTGTTGAATCATCTTAGTTATTTCAGGCGTTTTTCCCATGGTTTTGTCTCTGTAAGTGTGTGTTGTTCTAAGGGTGTGTGAATGGTGAACCTAGATGTGGTCGTGGTCAGTGGTGTCTTGTTTTTATTACTATTTTTAGTTCAGACATTTGTATGTGTTTTTTACTCCCAGGTTTCTGGGTTATATCGGAGTGTTGGCTCTGTTGTAGAACCAATTCTCATGCAATCGTGCTTATGCATGGGCCGGCCGGTTTCTTATGCTAAGTTCGGCGGCATACCTGCTGGCCTGTGACATACATGTTATCGACTCATGCATAACTGAGCATTTACTTCACGAGGCGTATGAGTAATTGGATCGAGTCATGGCGGTGTCTTGTTTTTATTACTATTTTAGTTCAGACATTTGTATGTGTTTTTTACTCCCAGGTTTCTGGGTTATATAGGAGTGTTGGCTCTGTTGTAGAACCAATTCTCATGCAATCGTGCTTATGCATGGGCCGGTTCCTTATGCTAAGTTCGGCGGCATACCAGCTGGCCTGTGACATACATGTTATCGACTCATGCATAACTGAGCATTTACTTCACGAGGCGTATGAGTAATTGGATCGAGTAATCGCGGGGGAGGTAGCGAGTGTCCGTCTGTAATGCGTGCCCATATGGTCGAAGTTGGGGGGGGGTAATCAGTTTGTAGTGGGGTCAACTATGTCTAGTGGTCCGGTGTTTTTGTAGGAGTGAGTAGTATTGTTATGTGAAGGGGGTTGGTTATTTTCTGAAGGGGGGTTGGTTATTTTCTGAAGGGGGGTTGGTTATTTTCTGGATAAGCGGTGTATGCAGCTCTGTCTATGTATAACTGCACCTGAGGTTGGTATCACCTAGCTATCGTATTTCTGTGGCAACGTATGCTGTTCTGTAAGCAGTTATCCTAGCTATCGCACGGATTTGTGCCGCATAATTGGTATTGGTAGGGGTTAACATGGTAGTTAATACCGTTCGCCGATAATGTGCGCATGATGTCGTAAGTAGCATTCCTCAGTGTATATCCAATGGGCATATGCAAGAATCATTATTAGACTGGTCTTGCCATAGTACAGGTCGTGGTGGATCATGGAGTCCCGTGTGTGTATTCGTAATCTGTCCCAACCAAACATCGATTGTCCCCAATCCTCCGGACAGTCATTATGATCAACGCCTTCATTATTAGCATCATCATTCTTTGTTATTTTATTTTATTTATTTTATTTATTTTATTTATTTTATGTATTTTATTTATTTTATTTTATTTAAAATTTTAATAATTTTATGTTTTAACCGTGATCATCGATCTGTAGGATGGGGGAGGAGCAGGAGTAGCACTGCCGGGGGGATGGAGGAGGAGGAGGGAGAGGAGAACTGTGATGAGTATGGGACGGAGGGGGAGGAGGATGACGTTTCAATGGAGGGGAAGGAGGAAGAGGAACGGTTGAAATTGGAACAGGAAGGACAAGGAGTGATGCGACGTTGGAGAGGGACGACTTTACGCTGGGGAGGGAGAGGGATGACTTTGTTAGGACGGAGCGCGAAGGGGAATAAAAAACAGGAAGGGTGAGGAGTACCAGGAATAGCAAGAGGATGACGATGATGCATGATGGAGGAGGACGGTACTTATAGGAGGCGAGCACGACGAGGATGGTTTCAGCAGGGTGAAAGACGAGGGTGAGGAGGCTTTAGTAGAGGAGGAGGATGACGAAGATGAACATGAGGTGGTCGGTATGATACATGGAGGAAGGGGGACTGGGGGGATAGAGGCGACGGCCCTGTGAGGTAGGAGAAAGAACTCGACGAAGACAGAGGAGGGGGATTTTTCATTGTGTTTGCTATGTTTGGCTTTTTTCATGGGTCTCTCTCTCT